AATTTCCTGGTCAAGTGGAACATGTGAGATCAATAATATCCATCATTTTAAACCACTGAAGGTGAGGTGCCAATTAGAATAGTGATCAAATAATAAAATCTAAAAATAACTGTAGACCACACGTGCTTTGCAATAATGAAACCCTTTGCAAGAATTCACCGTGTCATGTGTGCCACCCCTCACTTTGCCACTCACAAATGCGCAGAGTCTGATCGCCCACCTGAATATCAGAAATATCAGTTAATAACTTTATTTTATTCAATAGGTGTCATTGGCAATTATTTGCTCTTTTATGAACATTTATTGGTTCTTCCTAATTGCCCTTGAGAATGGCTTGTTATTCTTGTAGCTGGAAACACTGAGTGGATCCAGAATACATTTTCTGCGTTACAAAATACACCAATCATTTAACATTCAGGGAACATCGTCCCATGGTAGTTAGATTTATTTACTAACAAAACATGTACATGTAATCAATTATTTGAATATTATTTCATATCTCAATGTACAAAAAATTGCATTAAAATGATTACAAAATTAATCAAATGCTTTTAGTAGTACACAGACAGTAAGAAGAGAATCTGGACTGGAGCAGACTTAGTTTGAAAACAAAAATAAAAATGGCTCTGTCCGGTCTAACAGGAAAAGAAATGGCAAATGGAAAATTACATCACAAATTTGGCCCAAGTGATCGGAACACCGGACCATTTGGAGAAACTGTGATGACACAGACAGATGAAAATAGGTTAAAATGCAAGTCCTAAGTGGCTGAGCAGAATTCTTTTTCCATTAAATGTTTAACAACAAAAGTATACAAAAACCCTTTAAAATTAAAAAACAAACTCTAAATTCAAGTTCACAACAATGTAATAACGATTTACCTTGAATTGTTATACTTCAAATTTTAAAAGGTTAAAATTAGACAAATAAAATTAATAAAGTTAGCAAATTCAGTAAACTGTTATCTGCAAAAGCATGATGAATGCATGTGCTGAAACCTGAGATTCAAGCTATCAATTCCTATAGTATATATTGAGATAATACAAATAAACATAATACTGGAACAGCATTAAGAGGAAAAATTGTTGGACAACGATGGTCGTTCAGGAAATAGTATTGTAAAAGTTTAAAGATGCAGTCTGTCTGAAAAAAGTGACTGATAGTTTTACACGAAAATCCGGACAAATTTGCGATATTTACTTTATTAAATTCAATTCGTCCAATCTGGTCACACTGGGACCTAATTTTCATTCTGTTGGAATGTGTCTCCGTTGTGGCGAAAATGCCAGAAGACATCAGGAATCTCAAGTCCATTCCTCGAACTCAGTGTTTCCCATTTTCACAGGGGCAGGATTGGGGCTGATCAATAGATCAACGGGCCATTTAAGTTACCAGCTGCCTCCATTGAAGTTGGATTTTGGAATCTAGAACCTTGAGTGTGTAGATAAATCTTGATTTCCTTATCAAAAAGTATCAAAATGTGTTCTTGTGAATGAAAGTGCTTTACTAAATAGAGTGTAGTGTTCATTTTGGCTTGGGTGGTGCATGGAGAGTGTGTATGTTAAAAGAGAATGGAGTGAGGACTGAAAGAAAGTTTTATATCTTTTCCCCTTTTGAGAGGTAAGGTACACCTTTGGATGTGGTCCCAAGATTCCTTTGGTGGAGGCAAGCCACCCATTGAAGAGGATAAGGCATCCTTTGTGATTTTGAAAACGTACACTTATGCATAAACAGTTCATAAATTAATTGGGATTGCTTGGGTTTTCAAGGAACTTCCTAAAAAAGAAGTGAGGAGTGAAAAAAAAGCTGCAAGTATTTCAGTGTGCCTGTTAACACAAAATTATTACAAGTTTGTGCTGCTTTCCCAAACTACCATTTTTACAATGGGGTGTCTAACAAATGAACAGTTTGATGGACAGTTCCAACTGCTTATTGAATGGAAATGTTTGTTGACAGTAAGGGATTGGTTGAAGGAATTTCAGTATATTGACATTATTCTCAAATCAGTAAAAGCAGTTTTTTTTCTAATAGTGAGATCTTTAACAGACACTATCTTCATAACTCCTGAGTTTTACCCATACTAGGTTAGTTGGCATTGGTAATGTTGTGGGAGTTTTCAGGATTTAATAGTTGCCTTGCTATCCTCTGACCCTTATCTGCAGAGACTGAGTAGACGGAGATTTTCCGAGCGTTTAAAACAACCATTATTGCTTGCTAAAGCAAGGTGTAAAGAGTATCTGAACCTAACACAATGGAGACCTGGAACAAAGGATTACAGAGTCAGTTATATTTTTGAATTCAGTTACAAGAATTTAACATTTAGCAATTAAGAGGTGTAGAATTATCTAAATTCAGATGTTACTATTGATTAGGTTGGCATCATGCATAGCATATAAGTACAACTAACCAATCCCTATATAGGTACCCCTGTCTAATCGTAATATACAATTAGTGTGAAGGCATGTATATACTACAGAATCAGGTTAAATTGTAATACAGGCTATAATTTGTTCTTAACATGATAGTTTATGTCTGGCTTTTAAATATCAATCATATTCCCTGGTATTTTAATGATGTCCCTGGTATTTTAATGACATCTGTCAAGGCACAAATGTTCAATGGATAAACAACCCCTTTGCGGAGCTGTGAGCATTAACCTTCTTTGCTATCTTGCAGGCAAGTTAACTCCTACAGCAATCGGTATGGTGATCCCATATGTCTTCCCATGTATTGTTTAAAGTGTCAAGGCCTAAAGCCTGTGGTATCCCTTCTTGGGAACTGACAACTTACAGTTTTGTGTCCTTGTATTTTTATCCATAGCTAGCAGCTCGCATCTTGCAACTGCATGCCATTGAATGTTACAGTACAAGATTTTTTTTATTAGTTTTTTCACAGAAGGAAAGATAAAAGGTGGATAGTGGGAGATGTGAGTTGTCATGAGTTGGCAAAGGGGCTTTAATAGCCATTGGAATGATCAGTGACATGGGGGCACATAAACTTGAAGAGACTGTGGGAGATGGATAGAGGACAATAGGATGGCATAGGGGCAATACAAGGTCAAAAGGGGAATGTGTTAATGAACACAGATTTCACCAACTTTGAGAGATGGATAGATAGGCATTGAATGGCACGAGGGGTATGAGGAGCCAAGACGATGAGGAGATGGGCATAAAGCAACACAGCCTCTGAGATTCACCTAGGTCACTCAGTGCAACTCCCAATCCATCCAACTCCCTGGACTGAACATCAGAATTATGGCTGGCCATTTTGAAAGGTGGGATTTGCTGAGCTAGATTCTCTTTCATATCTAACTTGGGATTGAAAATCAGGCCTGGGGTGTATCATTCAGTCTGCTGCTCATCCATTCAAAAGTGTGAACATGTAAGTACACTAAAGATTGTAATTTCAGCACTGGGATCAATAAAACTTTACAATACTTCAACATAACAAAAAAAAGGACAAGCTGTAAGAAGGTCGCATATTGTAACATTGTACTATGTAACTTATCAAAAAAGGCCATCAATTCTCTATATATTCTTCTCTTTCTCTATATTCAAGGCAAAGCACAAGTTGTTAAGAGATGATGATTCATTAAAGTCAACTCTACAAACACTGCCAGTGTTAAAGGGTGAAAAATAAATCACTACATTGTTTGCGGAAATGTTTGTTCCACTGCCCTTAAAGAGCGACAAGGTGTTCCTTGTCATGACTGTTTGATGAATAATCTGTCTGCATTACTGTACATTTTAAAAAGCGTATGACCAAGCTATTCCGGCTCTATTGTTTAAGTAGCAGGAGACAGGAAGATGTTGAATATGATGGCAAACACCACACATGAAACATATGCTAATATCGAAGCCCAAAATCTGGGATCCTTTAAGAGTTTCTGATTGTAGCAGCTGAAAACCACATAGCCAATGGTCATTCCAGCTAGACCGCCTGCAATGTGAGCCACAAATGATACCTATAGGGAGTAGAAGCATGATGTTAGAACAAATAATCTAAAGATCATTTTTAATGTCACAATAATATGGCAGAACAAACAAAATCATGTGGTAATTCTATTTAATTCCAGCAAATCAATATTTTGAGTTCATCACTTCTAACTGGCAGCATGAACATTAAATTCACTTGGCAAAAATAGGACTAATGTGCTGATCCACTTCCTCTTTCAGACACAGTGTCTGCAGTTTGTAGGCGGAAATGGTTCAGGAGAATGACTCAGAAAGCTTGTGCTATATTTTTATCCATTCACCATGACTGAAAAAGTTGAAGTGGGTACTAAGTAGTCTTCCACTTTTTTACACATTGATGAATGAAGAAAAAACTCCTTTTGTATAAAAGAAACTATTCTCTCCCGCACACAAAAATGTAAACATTTAGCACTGGCATTGGCCACATATTTTATCCCTTAAGCCAGTGAATGTGGTTATTGTAGTGATTATAATGAGGTCAGCCAGATGGACATGATAAAATATGAGATCCTGATTGGGGCTGTTAACCTGGTTCAATCAGGGAGCCCTGATGAGCAATGCACACTGACTGACACAATGAGAGGCAATAAAACCAATGACATTTGACTTGAGTAATCAGTTATGGACCTGGGTACCTGCAAGGTTCATTGTTCAGATTGTTAAGAAATAAATAGGAATGATTTGATAACTGGCCTTATTTGACTGACAGATATAAACAGGAGTGTCACAGGATCTTTCTCTCTGAGAGCTGGCTCTGAGGAAGCCGGACCAGTGTCAAGTATTATGCATGTGTAAATAAAAGGTGATTGGAGATGGGATACCAGCCCTGTGGAGTTATTTCAGTTATCACTTGTAGTAATTAGCAATTATTACACATACTGGCTGTAGTTTCAAAAAGCATATGATTAGATAACACTGACAATGATAATTGTAAACTGTAATTCTGCATTTTCTGCAATGTTATGAGTAGGAATCCCAATAAGAATCTTATGCTGTTTCTTTATTTCAATGTTTTGCTAAATCTTCCAGGGTCTTAATGACTTCAGAATTAGATCCTCTTTGGTTTCTTTCTAAATGGAACCATTTAGTTCCATATCTTCTTTCACCTCTTATCATGAGGCAGTGTACAACTCTTTCTCATGTTAATCTCTAAATGAATATCATTTCACATTGTGAAAGACACGTGATAAAATTTTGTCACATGGTAATGCAATAGGCTCCACATTGGCGCTTCAATTTGTACACCCAGGTGATTCATAGTGTGCTCGAGCTTGAAAGCAAACAAGAAAAGCATTATTCCTTTGGTCTATGCCTATTATTCAAAATGCAATACAGCCTTTAAGTACCTATGAGTCATAAAATTGCATATACTCCCATCGAATTATCACATACACAAGAATAGCTTTGCTCTTACGTTGTGTGTGTATCTGCAGTTCAATTTTTTCAATGCAAGAGTTAAATAAACTCTCAGCAGAAGTGAGGAAGTAAAGCCAGAAAAATATTAATTTCTATAAAAGCAGAAAAGAAGAAAGGCAGAATAGGATGTGGAGTGGTGAGGGATATAAACAAATAGAAATGCTGCTGCAACCATCAGAATGTTTCAGAGCAAATAAGGCCAGTTATCAAATCATTCCTATTTATTTCTTAACAATCTGAACAATGAACCTTGCAGGTACCCAGGTCCACAACTGATTACTCTAGTCAAATGTCATTGGTTTTATTGCCTCTCACTGTGTCAGTCAGTGTGCATTGCTCATTATAAAGCATAAAGAACAGAAAAGTCAGCTTGGGTAATGAGGTGCTACTGTATGTTAGCAATGACATAAGAGTAATTTTGATTTTGGATGATACTGTAAAACTGGCCTTATCCGCTTGTCAACCATGAGTAACTTTATAAGATTGCAAGATAATAAGAATTAGGAGCAGGGGCAGGCCAGGATTCCTTGAGTATGTCAGGTTACTGCTTCACTGGACAGCCAGAAAGGTTTATAAGGAGGACTTTAAAGCGTCGACAAGTCTATATTTTCTGTTGTCATTTCAGGTAGCAGATCAAAAATAGGTAGTCCATGCAGTTTAGTTCCTTTCTGTAGACTTTGTAACTTAATAGGGCAAAGTGACTTGCTACAGCATTTCAGAGGATAGTTAACCACATTGCTGTGAGTCTGGAGTCAAATGTAGGCCAGACCAGGTAAAGATGGCAGATTTACCTCCTTTAAAGGACATTAATGAACTTGATGAGATTTTTTTATGACATTTTGACATTATACGGTTGTCATTCTTCATTTCCAGATGTTATTGAATTTTATTTATTTAGATGGGCTTTAAACCATACCCCCAAAATATTAGCCTGGGATTCTGGACTACTAGTCCAGTGACATGACCACTACATCACAGCCTGCCCCGTAATGCTCTCTTTCTTTAGTGCCTTAGGATGAGGACCATCTGTCGATGGGACTAGCCAACATATCATCACATTCATTCTTCTGGTACTTCGCCTGCAACAATCATGAATATTCTTCTCTGTTTTGTCCCATGATTTTCTCCTGTCCTTGGGGTGCTTTTTGCTCCTTTTAATTTTAAGACAATACAAAATATTTGTTCAAAGATATATTAATTTTTTATTCATTAACCCATGACATTTTTCCCCATTATTAATTCCCCAATTTCACTCATTAAGGAACTGTTGCTACTCTTTTATGTTTTATATACATGTAGAGGCTTTCACCATCTGTAATACATCTCTTGCTATTTTCTCTCATACTTCAAATTCTCCTTCTTTATCATTTTTTAGTCATCATTTCCTGTTTTCTAAAATATTCTGGCCTACTTTTACAGCAATGTGCATCTTTGATACCATCTGAAACATCCTTAGTTCATCACAAATTCTGCATCTTCTAATAAAGTCTTTCTTTCTCAATGGAATTTTTTCTGAAAGTCTTAAACATCTCCTTAAATTTCTGCCACTGCTTTTCTACTATCTTACATTTTAACTTATTGTCCCAGTTCACTTGAGTTTGTTCTGTCTTCAAATCCTTGTAATTGCCTTGATTGAAGTTTCAGACACAAATTTCTCACCCTCAAAAAAAAATCTGATGTTTTATCATATTATGATCAGTGTTAGCCTAGAGGATCCTATATTATTTCCTTTACTGGACCCAAACATCTTTCAAAATCAAATGACCTTAAAAGTTCTTTCTCTCTTAGACATTGACCGCAATTCCAACTCAAACTTCTCAGATGAAGATCTTAACTATTAATACGATAAACTGAACAATTTTATAAAATTTCTGCCATTTAGATTAGGATTAAGAGTTCACAAATGGCATACTAATGCTAAAAATTCAGTAGCTTGGAGCTACTTAAAGGGCCTACAACACCCATTATAGGTTAGCGCGCAGCTGAGAGGCCTATCTCACTACTAGGAAACCTTCCCGACTGTGGGATATTTTGGGGGTGAAAACCCAATGCAACTTCCTACTCATTTTCCCAACCACTGCCTCCCAACCGGCCAACAATAGGTCAGTAAAATCCTACCATTGGTTAGGACAAAGGGACAATCCTGCTGATCTTCTTCACATACTACCATGGAACTCTTTATTTCCGGTTGAGAGGACAGATTGTGTTTTAGTTCAATGTTTCATTTGAAAGATATTTTTCTGACAATGATGCACTCGTTCAGTCATATGCTGAAGGATAAGCTAAATTATATAGCAGGAGTTCAGAGACAGTATGTTCCTGTCCGTGTGAAGAGCAAGGCTGTTAAGTGTAGGCAACGCTGGATAAATAGAAACATTGAGGCTTTGCTCAAGAAAAAGAAGGAAGCATATGTCAGGTATAGACAACAGACACCAAGTGAAGGAGTATAAGTGCTGTAGGAGTGTAATAAAGAGGGAAATCAGGAGGGGAAAAAGGGGACATGAGATAGTTTTGACAAATAAGGTAAAGCAGAATCCAAAGAGATTGTACAAATACATTAAGGCCAAAAGAGTAAGTAGGGAGAGGATGGGGCCCTTTAAAGATCAATGAGGCCAGCTATGTTTGGAACCACAGGTTCCACTGAAATATTTCGTGTCAGTAGTTACTGTGGAGAAGGATGTTGATGCTAGGGAACTTGTGATGTCTTGAAAAGTGTCCGTATTATAGAAGAGGAGGTGCTGGAGGTCTTAAAATGCATAAAGATAGATAAATTCCTGAGACCCGATCAGGTGTATTCCAAACTTTGTGGGAAGTTAAGGAAGAGATTTCTGGGCCCTTTGCTGAGATATTGTTCTCATCGACAGCCACAGATGAGGTGTTAGAAGACTGGAGGTTGGCTAATGTGGTGCCATTATTTGAGAAAGGTGATAAGGAAAAGCCAGAGAACTATACACCGGTGAGCCTGACATCAGTAACGGGTAAGTCGGCAGATGGGATTCTGAGGGACTGGATTTACATGCATTTGGAAAGGTAAGGACTGATTAGAGATAGTCAACGTGGCTTTGTGCAGAGGAAACCATGTCTGACCAACTTAATTGAGTTTTTTGAAGAGGTGACAAAGAAGATTGATAAAGGCAGAGTAGTAGACATTGTCTATATGGACTTCAGCAAGGCGTTCAACAAGGTTCTGCATGGTAGACTGGTTAGCAAGGTTAGATCACATAGAAACTAGGGGAAGCTAGGCAATTGGATACAAAATTAGCTTGAAGGTAGAAGACAGAGGGAGTTGGTACAGGGTTTTTTCTTGGACTGGAGGCCTGTGACCAGCGGTGTGCCACAAGGATCGGTACTGGATCCACTGCGTTTCATCATTTATATAAATGATTTGGATGTGAATATAGGAGGTATGGTGATTAAGTTTGCAGATGAGAGGAGACGATGACCTAGTGGTATTATTGCTAGACTGATAATCCAGAGACCCAGATTACAGATTCAAATCCCACCATGGCAGATGGTGGAATTTGAATTCAATAAATATCTGGAATTAAGAACCAAATGATGACTATGAATCGATTGTCGGAAAAACCCATCTGGTTCACTAATATCCTCTAGGGAAGGAAACTGTCATCCTTACCTGGTCTGGCCTGCATGTGACTCCAGATCCAAGCAGTGTGGTTGACTCTTAACTGCCCTCTGGGCAATCAGGGATGGGCAATAAATGCTGCCTAGCCAACGACACCCTCATCCCGTGAATGAATAAAGAAAAAAAATTGATGGTGTAGAGTATAGTGAAGAAGGTTATCTAAGAGTACAACAAGACCTTGATCAGATAGGCCAATGGGCCAATGAGTGGCAGATGCATTTTGGAAAGGCAAACCAGGTGGGACTTATACAGTTAACGGCAGGCTCCTGGAGAGTATTGCCAAAGAAAGAGACTCAGGGGTGCAGGTGCATAGTTCCTTGAAAGTGGAGTCAAAGGTAAACAAGATGGTGATGAAGGCAATTAGCACAATTGCCTTCATAGGTCAGTGTATTGACTTGGGACATCATGTTGCAGCTGTACAGGATATTGGTGAGGCCACTTTTGGAATACTGCATTCAGTTCTAGTCTCCCCACTATAGGAAAGATGTTGTTAAACTTGAAAGGGATCAGAAAAGACTTACAAGGATGTTGCCAGGGTTGGAGGGTTTGAGCTATATGGATGGGCTAAATAGGCTAGAGATTTTTTCCCCTGGAGCATTGGAGGCTGAGGGATAACCTCAATAGATATTTACAAAATCGTGAGGGGCATGGATGGGGTGAATAGTCAAGGTCTTTTTCCCAGGGTAGGGGAGTCCAAAACTAGACGGCATAGGTTTAAGATGAGAGAGGAAAGGTTTAACAGTGAACTGAGGGGCAACTTTTCCATGCAGAGGGTGGTCCATATATGGAACAAGCTGCCAGAGGTGGTGGTGGAGGCTGGTACAATTACAACATTTAAAAGACATCTGGATAGGTATATGAATAGGAAGGGTTTAGAGGGATACGGGCCAAATGGTGGCAAATGGGACTTGATCAGTTTAGGATATCTGTTCGGCATGGACAAGTTGGACCAAATGGTCTGTTTCCATGCTGTATGTCTCTATGACTCTAACTAAGATTCTATGAATTCAAGCTTTTGGAGTGAAACCTGAACTCAGAAACATCTGACTCAAAGCTGGAAGTGTTACCAATAATCATAAGTCATCATTATCAAGCATTAGTTTACTTACTGTTAAGCAAACACTTTGTTAATTTGGCCGACGTTTCGGGCCTAGACCCTTCATCAGAAAAGGGGGAGGAGAAGGGGGTTCTGAAATAAATAGGGAGAGAGTGGGAGGCGGATAGAAGATGGATAGAGGAGAGGATAGGTGGAGAGGAAACAAACAGGTCGAAGAGGCAGGGATGGAGCCAGTAAAGGTGAGTGTAGGTGGGGAGTTAGGAAGGGG